AATATATCTGCAGCGTGACTCTGCTACGTATAATATGGCATGTTTCTAAAGTCTACTATTGTCACTTACTACATCGTGAACGAGATGTTAGCTCTTAAGCTTCAGGTTAAAAATTCGTAGCTCTAGATTAAGTTATCGATTTATAAATATGAAATCAATATTTAATAAATCAAAGTGTGTTGCTTGGGTAGTATATCTAGAAATATATGGATAAAATATTTAGACCAAATAATGTAATGTATGTAATAATTTATAATATTTCCTCATTGCATGCACAAATAAAATAAATACCTACTGTTTAACTTTATTTAATATCAGCTGAATCAATGTATTATTTTATTTCTCATTAAGATACGGATTGAGGAATAGGGCACTATAAATTAAAAGTATATCGCGCCATATACCACCGCAATCGTTTATATTGTTGTGACATTCAATTTAGCCTTGCGCGTTCATTTATTTTTACTCAAAGGGACTCAATTAGTTCAATTCTGCAATACGAAATCAACGTCAGCAATTAATTTCCAGATTTATCAAATTATGAGTTTAACAGTACGTTTATAAACCAGAAACGATAAACTTATTTTAAGTGATATAACTGTATTATTCAAAAAGTATTAACCAATTTTGATTATCATTGGATTGTGATTGAAATCCATTTATGACCCGAGAATATAGCCTTTTATAAAAAAAAATCAACCAAAAGGCAGGAAAAATTATTAGAAAATAAAAGAAATTTCCTTATTTTCTTATCTTCGTTGATTAACTATTTGATTGTATGTTTTATAGTTTCTATTAGCCTTGTGATATCTACATGATTTATAATTTTATTGACGTGTAGTAGCGATTAATAATATACACTACCCCATATCTTCCCGTGGGTGTCGTAAAAGTTTTTGACGTGCCTTGTGGCATTCCTTGGGGGTGGGCCTATGTTCAGCAACGGACTTACGAAGGACTGTAATTATGATGATGATATTTTTTTCTGACTAGTGCCTTAAGTTTTTAAATCCTTGCTTCGTTGACTCTGGTTGATTATGTAGCGTAAATCACAGATATCATCATTTATTTTCTGTGTTCAATGTCGTGGGAATAGCCAAAAATCATAAACCCTATTATCATTGGATAGTCATGGAGATCGTATATTATTAAATGTAATATGTTAAGTAAGCATCCTAGCTAGATGGAGTCAGATCTGTGTTATGCGTGAATGAATGTTATGCGCGTTAGTTTAAGATTTAAGTCTTTGGGCTTAAATCTAGCAGTGGAGTACTCCAGGCCAACTATAATCAAGTTTTCTTTTATAAAACTAAGGTAGTGAACGAGCTTACAGTCCACTTGTTGGTAAGCGGTTACTGTCATCCATGGAAACCTTCAATAAACTTCAGACAAAGGCGGCTGCAGATGTGTTATCACTTTGAGGGACTGAGTTCAAATATCTCACAGCTTGTAATTAAATGGCTAAACCATTCAGACCGGAACATAGCAGGAAGAGAACAGCTACTCGGCGGCAAAAATACTTAAGATAGCGAGACCTGACTGACTCCTTGACAGAAAGATTAGTCCTACCAACTAAGATCACAGAATAGTAGTATTGGTCGAAGTAAGAAATATTTTATTGACTAAAATCATCAACCTTAAAATGTTAAGTAATTGCGTCATGATCATCGCTATCATCATTACAGCCCTTTCACAATTCCACTGATAAACATAGACCATCAAGGAATGACACAAAATATCTAAGCTAGAGAAATTGCATGTCAGTCGTTATTAAAAGTCTTGTCTTGTTTTATAGAAGATGATCGTAAGAGCAATTTATAACCTGAATTACTTTTTAATAAACTTTTTTCCATCTATCTTATTTTGCAATGTAAACAAAAAGATTAGTAAGAAACACTTTTCTTATAGAATACGGGTGACAAACGAGTGCAAAGTCCACCTGATTGTAAGTTGATGCTGAGGCCAAACTTAGTATCTAAAGGTGATAACGCGTCTGTATCGTTCTTTGTCTGGTTGGTGGTAGGTGGTAGGTGGTAGGTGCCCATGGGCTGTAGTTGCCACTTACCATCAGGTGGACTGTAAGTTTAATTGTCACTAACGCTTTACAATAAAAAACCTTATCCTAATCAACCTGGAGTATTCTACTGCTGGATTCAAGCCCCTTTCACGGCCCGTAAGTTAACGTCATCTTTGGCTTTGTGTTTTGTTGTTTTAGTTGGTACTAGATAAATATCTTACACAGGTTGTGACTCCATCTAGCTTACTTAGGGGGCTTACTTAACATTTTACCAAAGTGCGCTATCCTTGCCTTCTATTCCAATTATAGTCAATTTTATAATTTTTGGCTATTTCTACGATACTGCAAGAGAAAAATTATAAACTTGTTTAAGGAAAATAAATGTTGATCCTGTGAATTACGTTATACCTTTTATCAAAGACAGCGAAACAAAGATAATAAAAATCAAAGCACTAGTCAAAAACATTACAGTCATAAATTATGTAATTATCGCAGGAAATTTAACGCTAATAAGGACTATAAAGCATGCAATGAAATATTAAAAAGTTACTCAACAAAAATAATTTTTTATCCCAATAATGTTCATACACTTCAATTCCAATACGCAAATACAGTCTCAGGGTAGCGGATTTTCCAGCCTTTTGATTTTTGAGATTTGATGAGATTTTTTTTAAATCAAAAAGACTATATTCTCTGGTCATAAATAGAATTATATCACTAAACAAGTTCAATCCCATTAATGAATATTAAAAATATAAAATTTTAAGAATTTTCTTGTCTAATATGATATGACGATGGACATGCCATTGGGCTTCAAGAACCGACAAATAATGAAGAAGAAAGTTTCTCAAGTGGCAACCTAATACAGGTAGACGAAATGTTAGGCGACCCCGCACTAGTTGGTGTGACGATTTAGTAAGAGCTTCAAAAATCAATGGTTTGATCCGAATCACACTTTTTGACAATCCTTGGGGGAATACTATGTTCAGCAGTGGACTTATTTTAGACTTTTATAATATTCATAAATATATACATTTTTTGTTTGGTAGTGCTACGCTGAAGCTATATTATGGTTGTATCGCGAATGGTTCGGTTCAACGGGGGTAGGACATGCTCTCACAGAAATCAAGCATAAAATAGCAACTTAATGCTGCTGTGTTTGGTGATGTGTGTGATGGTGAGTGTAGAGAACCGGAGAGTTACCATCAGGTGAACTGTGGGCTCGTTTGTGACTCTTATCCTATAAAGAAAAACTTTTCTCTTGTAAATACATTGTAATCGGAAGGAAAGATAGACGTTGGTATTTTGATGCTTAACTGTGGATAGATGTAGGTATGGGTTACAGCATCCACTTACCATCAGGCGGACTGTGTGCACATTTACCCATATACGCCTAAAATATATTTGTTGTTTTTTTATATTGAGATTTTTTCTTTAATAATATTTACTACTGTATAATATAAGAGGTAACGTTAGAATATTAACTCTCTGAAGACATGGAAGATTGAATTCCTTTATCGGATAAATTGAATCTTATAAAGCACACGGATCGCCAAGTTCAATGTATGTATTAGGTTCATATTTTATTTAACTGACATTTATTTTAAATCTCAAATATTCTTCGAGACCTCTTCTTTATCAAGTAAATATAAAAATAAAATTTATAATCTTAATATATATAAATTAAGTGTCACGTTGTTTGTCCGCTATGGACTCCTAAATTACTTAATTATTTTTAATCAAAATTGCACACCGTGTGCAGTTTAGCTCAACTTGAGAGATAGAATAGTTTTTTTAACCGTGAGTGACCCACAATTTTTTTTCGAATTTAAGAGTTTTTAATGGGACATGATAAAAGGTCGTCGAAAAGTGCAGAACAACGTCTGCCTGGCATGTTAGTATTATATATAATTTATTTAATGTAAAAATATAAGCAGTATCCATAAAAGTAACATATATAATAAGTAACTTACGTAGGTGTACGAATTTTTACAGCAAAATTCTTTGTAAGAATTTTTGTATAAATTTAAGATACACGTAAAGAGCCCTCTAATAAAAACATGTTATAAGAAATAACATGAACATTTAAGTAACAAGAATGTTTGTACATAATGAGCTTTGTTTTATTTTATAACGTTAAATTGTAACTGTTTACAGAAAAGTAGGTTACTTGTGACTTTTTGCCGCTTCTTTTTATAAGATCTCCTGCGATAGGGACTTGTTGAAGTGATGGTATTTTAATGAAATAAATAAAATAATATATCGTAAATTTGACTTTCTAAAAGTGCTTTGTAAAAGCCAATTTTGAATTACGTTGGAGGTGAAGTGGGTAGGTAGCTGCTGCTATATTTTCCTATACATCACCTTATTAGCACCACCTTTGCAATGTAAAAAAATATTTCATTCTTTTTAATTCTTTGAAGTCAGCTCTTACTTTTTGTTAAAAGCTATTTTTATCTATTGTTGTAGTCCAGCCGAGGTCGATTCATGCCAGCATCAAATAAACTGTTCATTAATCAATCAATACGTTCTTCATTGTACCCTAGCCCTAGTACAAAATTAAAATGATATATTTATGTCACAGGGCATCAAAGGAAGATGGATGAAGCGCTGCGTACAATCCAGTGACGCCGATGATAGCAAAACTTCTTCACTCACGCACATATCTTCCTTCTTTATTTCTTTAACAGATCGTAAAAGGCCACTGCACCCACACGTATGCACCAGAACAATGTAGTTGTGTGTGATAATCGGCTGGTTAACCGATCATCACACACAACAACATTGTCACCTTGTTGAAACCTATCACTTATTTCTCAATTTTTATCCGTGGTCCGAGTACATCGCTGCTTTATGGACTCCACCAAACTCCCCGTAAATTACAGTCGTGACGCTATGTATGTATTCAGTCACTCGCGAGCTCTCGCACAGCGTAGTCTAACTTTGTACGGATAAATTTACCCTCAATATTAAATAAGTAAGAATGTCTAAATGCGACAATTGTGATAAGTCCATAACAAAACAGTCACCTAGGCTTGAGTGCAACAATTGTGGAAAAATAGTACACGCCAATCAATTATGCATAGGCTTATCTTCGAAGCAGCTATCAGCTCTGCGCAATGCTGAAAACCTGGAGTGGACATGTGAGGATTGTCGTAAAGAATCGCCTCATCGTAAGTCTTTCATAATTCCGGAGGACGATGACGATGATACTGATGGGATTCAGCTGGGTGAAAGCGGTTCGACAGCGATGAGTAAATTACTTCTTAATATCTCACTTGAGGTAAAGAAAGCAGTGAAAATGGAACTGGCCTCTGTGAACGAATCGTTAAGCTCATGGTGTATAAAAATGGATACTATAAATGCTACACTGGAAATCCTAACTGAGAAAGTTAAAGACTTGGAGAAGAAAAACATGTGCTTGACAAATCAAAATACCCACTTGGAATTAAAAGTTAATGCTATGGAACAACAAATCAGAAATATGGAACAAAAACAGTTGGATAATGTACTGAAAATAACAGGAATTTCCAAAGATAAGGACGAGAACTTGGAAAAACTTTCAAGTAAACTAGCCTCGAAACTAAACATAGAGAAACGTCAAGTATCAATGGTGAAGAGACTGAAAGGCAGGTACGGTAAAGAAGGTGTGATACAGGTAGTATTGCAAAAAGAGGAGCAGGTTGACCAGTGGATCCGCGCTGCACGAACGGAAACAATTGCTTTGGAAGATATAACTCCAAATGCCCCTAATCCTGAAGTAGCCAAGAGAAGAGTGTTACTTCGGCGTGCACTAACCAAAGCAAATAAAACACTTCTGTGGCAAGCTAAACAAACCTTGAAGGAAACTTACAAATATATTTGGTTCCAGGTAAAGTTTTGGCTCGTAAATTTGACAATGATAAGCCCGTTATCATAAGAAGCTCATGTGATATTGATAAGTTGTCTACTCAAAAATATCGATAGCAGTTTTACACAACGCAACAGTTCCTTCACAGGAAATACAAGAATTGTTTGACTGTGCTAACATAAACGAGTTTAGTAAATATCTACCACATAATGTACAACAACTAAATATTGTCCACATAAATTTGCGATCAATAGTTAAAAAAATTTGTCTGGTTTTACAATTCATTTATTCGTCTAAAATTGATGTCGATGTTATTATATTAACAGAGAATTTCCCAAAGCAGTAATCTTGTTCAATTATTTAATATTCATTGCTATGAAATATACTATAAGCTTCGTGAAAAGCGAAGAGGTGGTGGCATTGTTATGTATATAAAAAGTACCCACAAGTTTAAAATTCTAAATAATATATCACTAAACCATTGTGAATCTTTAATAGGTAAATTATCTAAGTCACATCAATACACGGCACTTATTTGTTCATTGTATAGACCACCCAAAGAAAGCAAACACTTATTTATCAAAGAATTGAAAAAACTGTTGTGTAAGGACGTTTTTAAATGCTCGGATTTATACTTACTGCGTGATATAAATATCGACTTAAAGTGGCATGATAACATACGAGAATACTATATAAGTTGCATGGCCGAATGTGGACTAGCGAGTGCAATACAGATTATACTAGAATCGAAAACCGAAAAGATATTATTTCGCGGAGTTGCGTTGATATATTTTTGCAAGAACGCGCTCGCTAGACCTTTATTCGGCCGCACTCGGTACTGTAATGACAGACCATCGTATGGTTGTGTTGTCGTACGTAGGAAGCGGAGTTGTAAACATTAGAGGGCGTGGTGCAAAAGTTAAACAACTAATTGATTATTATATATTAAAACTAAAGTTAAATGAAATTAACAGGCATGTTGTCGATAAGATGTTATGTCCGATAGAGATTTATAATTATATTAAAAATAAATTCAAAATGTGTTACGAACTATCCAAATATACACAAAAAATAAATTTAAATAGCAAAAGAAACAAAGAATTATGGATAAATAATAAAATTAACAACATGTGCCGAAAAAAGAGATTTACTTTTTAATCAGTGGAAAAAAGGATACGAATAATTATATACTTATATTAGAATTTAATAAACAGCGAAACAAAACTCAAAAATTAATTGAAAAATCTAGAAACAAATATTTTTATGATAATTAATAATAATAAAATGAATAAAAAGAAAATGTGGGATACATTAAATACGCTTACTGGTAGAGTCTGTAAGCCAGTAGATGAAGCTGTAACCAAAGCATTCAAGAAAAACAATCTAACCTTAAAAAATATAGCCAACAATTTTGCTACAAAATTCTGTGAAAACTTCAAGAAAATCTTGGTCCATGTCAGAATCGGAATACATATTTCCTGAAAACAAATCTATGTTATTTAAAAAACCTATTAAGCGCAATATACTAACTATTATAAAAATTTTAAATGCAAATAAATCGGCTGGTAATGATGAAATCCGATGTTTTGACGTTAAGATGCTGAGTGACAAGATTGCTAATATTTTAGTTAAGCTGATAAACACTAGCATAGCAGTAGGAAAATATCCACAAGATTTGAAAAATGGCACCGTAAGACCAATTTATAAAAAGGGATCACATAGTGAGTATGATAGCTATAGGCCTATAACAATACTGTCATAGATAAGGTAGTTGAAAAATATGTGTCTCAGCAAAATTCATAATTTTTATACTAGAAACGATATATTATCAAATGCTCAATAGTCGGCTTTCAATCTAAGAAATCCACTACTATATTGCTGTCTAAATTCACCGACAAAAAACCAACACCTGAATGATAAAAAACATGTCATATTATTATTCATTGACTTTAGTAAGGCATTTGATACTCTTTAGGCACGACATTCTTATAAAAAAACTTGACAATACAGGTATCCGCGGGCCATTATTACAATGGTGCCAAGATTATCTCAACGATATAAAATACCGGGTTAAGATCGGCAATAATTTCAGTGACGAAATATTTGTAACTACTGGAACAGCACAAGGCTTCGTGCTCGGACCCTTGTATTATCTAGCATACGTGAATGATATGGAAAATGTAATAAAACATTGTTCCATTTATCAATACGCGGACGATACATGTCTTATGGCAGTCGATAAAGATCTAGATAAGGCCGAACACCTTTTACAAATCGACTTCAATAACTTATGTAAATGGTCTCATGATGTTGGTTTAGTACTGAATGCTAGTAAAACTAAAATTATTCATATTCGATCTAACTAACTACGCAATGTTGATAATAAAATCGAAGTAATTGCGCATACTCATCAGTGCTTGCATGATTTTCAAACAAATAGGACCGGGTGCAAATGTGAATTGTTAGAGCAGGTTCGCCGTTACAAATATTTAGGACTAGTAGTCGATAAAAGATTTAACTGGGGTTATCACATTGACACAATATGTGAAAAACTGAGAGCAATGCTAGCCAAATTTGCTATCTTGTAATACAAAGTACCATTTAAAATATTACTAAATTTATACAATGCACTCGCAGAGTCAATCATTTCATATGGGATCACTAGCCATGGTAGGACGTTTAAAACATATTTGGACAAAATATACAGCCTACAACTTTGGCTTTTAAAAATAATAATACCCGATAAAATTAAAAAATCAATCTGCTTCGGAGACAATGTATTAGCTTTATATAAATATTGTGAGATATTGCCTGTTCATATTAAAATAAAAATGTGGCTATTAATTGAACAATTTACGAATAAAGTAATACAAATAAAAGTGAATCATAAAACAACGACACGGAAAGTAACTCAATCAAAACTGGTATTACCAAGTGTTAGAAATTATTACGGAAAACGAACGAACGCGTATTTAATACCAACCCTCGTTAATGATATACCTACTAAAATCAGATTAGGAATAACGGACAAAAACTGTAAAAATAAATATAAGCAATACTTTAATTCTTTACTTTAATAACAAGTTGTCTAATTTTTAGAAATCAAACCTAACATAATATCATATCGATAATCGAAACGTCCTGTCTATAACACACTCAAGTAGCATCAGCCGGCTGTCCGCCAGCCGTGCCGAGCTGCTTATCTATAACCGGTTCCTTTATGTCCACTTGTATGCAAACAATGTACCTATACATCATACTGTTAATACTATATTTGATGTTCTTATTAAATAATAATACGTATAAACTAATGTCAACAGATTGCTCAAAAGTGTCTCAACATCGAGACAAACCCGTAAGGGTTTTTGTGATTTTTAAATTGTGATTTTATGTATTTTTTCTTATATTAAATAAATTCAAAGAAAAATTATAATAGATATGTTTTACAATCATAGTGCAATAGGTACAGAGTTTTTCATTAAGAGCGCTCAAACTTTAAAATGAAACAAAACAACCTTTTAAGTGATATTGCCACAATTTTTATTTTATTATAAAGAATATATAATCACATCATATATTGAATATAGTTTCAACTGTGGTGTATTCTGGTGAATCAATTTTGGACGACATCTTCACATAACCAAAAAGTGACATTTTCGAAGTGTAGTAGTGTACCTGATGAATCTCCCGTGGATTTTCGTCGCTAGAAGTCCGGGAATTTCATTTGTTAACAAGTCCAATCTACTAGGAATGAGCCTCATACCTGAAGATGATTTTTTTACCCAAAACATGGTCTGCCGCAAAATGTTCTAAAGCTTACTTCGAACTTCGAATTATAATATTTAGGAGTCAAACACCGTCTAACTCCGATAAAACATATTTTGCTTCTACATAGTTTGTACTATTATCTGAGTACACTCTACGTATAAGGCCGTAGCGAAAAAGAATCCTTTAAAATGCTTATATGAAGCTAGCCGTGCCTAAATCACCGGTTACCTCTATGTGTACAGCGCAAGTAGTCAAACATACGAAAATACGAACATACGCGTTCGTGGATCTTACACCACGTCTACGATTAAGTATAACCTTAAACGGGCCAGCAAATCTGAACCAGAGTGCATAAAGGGTTTTGCGGATTGCACCACACAAGATATGGTCCGCCATTTCCGGAAATGACAGCCTTGGACGAACTCGAAAACAGGCGATAAATCTATGCACCCGATTTTGAGTTAAGTTGCGAGTGGAAAGAATCCAATAGTTCTGACGCAAAATAGACATTAACATTTCGGGGCCAGCGTAAAAATTCAATTTGTTATAATATATAAAATATCTACAAAATATATACGCAATACAAAACAATACGCAAACAATGGTACTACAAAACACAACAAATATTGCACAATCATTTCCAAAACTAAAAAAGGCTTTACATTGTAACGGCAAGGAATGATCCAAATTTTTATTTGAAACATTAATAAGCTAAATATTAATTTGTAATTCTGCTGGAGATAAAGTCCAATATTTGAATCACACACAATTATATAATGATAAGTATGCAATATTCTGAGGGAATCGGAATTACGACGAATAATTTGGAATAACGGTTCTGGTAGCCTGTTGCTCGCGAAGCCTCATCACTTCTTTCGATAAAGCTGATAGGTCTTGCAGCTGGATCTACCTCTGCCGTAGGTATTTTATTTTCCTCCGCCAAGCAGTATTTTTCTCAGCAGGTCCAACCCTTTGCTCCCAAGGCGACACACGGATGTGTCTGCTGCGGCATTCATTACACTTTGAACTTGAGATGCAATTGGCAAAACGATGCTTATTACTCAAACAATTTAAGCACAAGTTGTTAGCTCTTACCATCTTATAACGTTCGGTCGGTGAACGCCTACGGAAAATTGCAAATTTATACAAATTACCTTGTTGATTAGTTTTACACAAGAAACAGGCGCTGTGCGAAAATAAAGGCGCGGTGTTTACATACGCTAAGGATTTCGTTGGCTTTGACGGGATATCCGTTCGATGGTCCTCGTAATTTTTTGCTGCTGGCTGGCTAGCTGGCTACT